GGTACGTTCAATTCTGAACAGAATGAGACGTCTCCGAAATTTCAATGACCTTCCAGTCAAGAACGGTAAGGAAAATGCAGCGACTGGCAGTTTTAACATTGCAACTTTCGCACTGCTTACAAAACGTCGGGTCTTTGCGCATTTTCTTTCCATTCTTGTTTGGAAGATCGTGGAAACTTCGGAGACGTCTCATTCTGTTCAGAATTGAACGTACCATCGACCAGTGTGGCGGAAATTTTTTTATATGTATTCTAAGTTGTCTGCGATTTCTGTAAAACCAAGGTTTTCTGGGGATCCTTTAGACCTGTTCCGGAGTATTCATACGGGATTTTTTCATCGATCTATATAAATGTCGACGTCGTCTTTCATTTGAGACCAAATTCAAGATTTTTAGATAGGGATGGCAGGTCTGAGAAGTTTTACAAAAGTGACTGTTTCTGCTAAAAAATGCTAAAAATCCGACTTTCTGTTAGTGGGGTATTTTGACTGTATCTTTTTTTCCTACACAGCTAGAGAGTTGCGGTTTTCACCACTGGATTCAGCACCCAAAACTACATCTGGAAATGTATATCTCGTTTCCTGCACTACAACTTTTGTATAACATGGTAGGTATCATGTGGATTGGCCCATTGCAATACAAACATTCACTAGTACTAATTGCATTAATCATCTTATATACTCTTCTTTCATTCTAGCTTCTTACCGCTCCGTGGCATATTACCCGATATGATATGCGATTCGAAGTCGTACATAGATTTATTAACTATTTATCAAGAAAAAGCTCGTAAAGACTGTGAATTAGTTGGAAATTATCTGTATGATCTATTGCAGAAGTACTGTAGTAAAAATGTTTCATCGAAAGCTCAATTGGATGATTTAGTATCGATTTATTGTAAAAATTCGTCATTTTTAAACGTGGTACGCACCAGTGAATTGAAACAAGAATATCGACATGAAAATAACGAATCTTTAAAACAATATGTCGAACAATTACCCGCTGCGCAACAAGCACCAAGTGACGGTGATCAAAGTGAATCAATGATGACACCACAACCAATATTTGCTCAAGATTGTCCGGAATTATGCTGGTACGTATATTAAGCAACATTGAGAGATTGATCTTATTTATTACATGAAGTACCAGATTCCGTATGTATTCGAGGCATTACTAAGTCAACAAATCATTTTAGTTTATAGTGACGGGTAAGATCATTTATTAAAGCTACCCTCCCTCTTTTTCGTTATTCAATCTCGGTTGAGAACTTTAGCTCAATCAAACTTTCGCTCCACATTTACCTACAAGGTGAAAAAGAGGGAAAGTAGTCTTAATCGTACTGGAACTCTCGTTTCAGCAAAATTATTGTACAAAAGAATCGTACTAGGTAGTTCGAATTCTGTTAGAACTATCTGAACTTTCTTTCATTCAAGGTATATTGGCTTGCGTTTATGTGATTTATTTCATGAGAAATATGGTCGTTATCCGGGTGAACAATTAAAAGACATTCAAAATGGGAGCGAAGATGATAATAGTCGTGAAGAAATGGATACGGATCAACGTCAAATTGAAACAGATTTACATGATTTAAAACTTATTGGAAAACAATTTTTGACTGATCATGAACTAGCCAAACATCAAGGTGGTATTCGTGATACAGTTTTAGAAGAATTATGTCGATATGGTTCGTGTGAAATTCATTCCATAGCCGCATTTGTTGGTGGATGTTGTGCACAAGAGATAATCAAATTAATTACACATCAGTATATACCCATTGATAATACGTTCATATATAATGGTATTAAACAATCAACAGCTTTGTTCAAATTTTAAAGTGAATCACTATTGCATTAAACATCTTTTTATTATATATATATATGTATGTGTGTCTGTGTGTAGGAACATTATGTGCAGTCTTTCTCTTTCGAATATCTAAGTATTAAAATTAAGTGAAAGCTATCTCTGTGTTTTTTTATGATGTATTTTTTATTTCTTATAAATAGGCAAGCGCGATCAACAGTTTTTCAGTAAGCTGAATTTGAAATTTTTTATTTATGGTTAAATATTATCGACAAAGACATAAAAGCCATTTTAATTTGTTTTTCGGAATGTCTTTTGCGATAAATTGCATTTTCTAGATAAAAATAGTTCAACGATCAATTTTATGTGTTTCTCTTAGGTGATACATTTATTTTATCCTAGTGTAAGACAGATATGTACCTTGCCCACTGTATATAATGTCACTTGACGATTGATTATCTCGTATAAAAAAACGGCTAAGTCACTGGAAAAGCGCTAAACCTTCGAGGAGAGGTTCATTTTGGAGTAAATGAAGAAGATTTGACAAGATTAATGAAAGATGTATCATATCAAGCTCATGGACATGATACAGACATTTTCCGCAAATCTGTACGATCAGGAATAATTGAGAATAAGTAGTTAACTCGAGAAAAAAGAATTTTTCGTGATGAAAGAGCAAGCGAAGTTAAGAGCCTTTCTATTAAAAAAGTCGATTTTGCCATTTAAAGATGGCTGGATAGATCAAAGTATCTTCACAATGTAACAAAGTATTTCACAATCTATATCGCTTTCTCCTTCAAAGATAAATTTTCATGGTTTTAGAAAAAGAATCCTAGTTTCTTTCACGCTATCAATGCAATTTAACTCTTTATTAGCAAGTAGATTTGTAGAGCAACCTTTTCTGGTTAAAATGAGACATAGCACAACTCTACACTCTATACTTAAAAAGTTACAAGCGTTTTCCTTCTACTAAGTATAGTAACACATGCACGGCGTTTTTCTCAAAAATGTTTTTTTTATTTTCTAGATTTCTCCTCTACTTAAAGTATTAAAAAGCTCGAATTTGTCATAAAATGATGATAAGAGTTGTGGATATGACTTAAAAGAATCGAATTTTTAATTTCTGTCTTACTTTTTGAGAGAAATGAAAGTTTCCGAAAAATTAACAAAGTTTCCTTTTTGAACCCTTGAGATAAAACCTGTGCAAAAAATAACTAAAGAAAATTTCGAGATTTTGACTCTACTAAGTTACAGCTAGGGATGGCACTTTATCTTTACTTACAACTAGTAACGAACTTAGTTACTCGTTATTAGTAAAGACGTAACTAATCTCTTTATTTCGTTACCAGTAACGACTAACTAAGTTCGTTACTTAGTTACTTCGGTTACTTCTCTAGAAAGTAACGGTTTTTCGTTATTTTCTGGAGGAGTAACGAAGTAACTAAGTAACCAAATGAGTTACTCGGTACTAGTAGCGAAGTGATGAAAGTAACTAACTTCGTTTTCAGGTAAAGTAACGCCGAGTAACTAGTCAAGTGTCACCCCTAGTTACAGTAGCAAGTCTTATCTCCATTTTAAGACCAATCGGAGCGTTTTAGTAGAGAACACTGGAAAAAGCTCAAGTTTTCAAACTTAAACGTTTATCCTAATTTAATCTAGGCAAGACTAACATTCTGCAAAACTTTGGTCAGAATCCTGCATTTTGTGTTAGAAATATATTTGTGGTAGGAGGATCCTTAAATGGAAAGATATTAGTATTAAACTTGGAAGTTTAGAAATCAATGAGCAATAAGAATACTAATAGATTCAAAGCAGCTGAAAATATTGTTTCAGTGTCTGGATTAAAATTAGATAAATCGAGCTTTCGGTCATTTAATGGTTATTATCAAGATAAGAGTACATGGATTTCAAAAGGCAATGGATGTTACTGATTATTAGTGCGTGATTTGTAGCCATTACTACACGTAAACCTTTGCTGAATGCCACAGTGAGATTAGTTCATTAATATTTTGAGAACGAAGAAGAAGTGAACAAACTGGTCAAGATGATAATATAACAAAATAAGACACTGAATTGATGAGTGGAGCTCTGCATTGGATGGACAAAAGAACGTTTAAATTTGTCCCTGGACATAGATGGACATGAACAAACTGAAAAAATTTTAAATTTTGTTCACAGCAAGGATCTGATTGGACACTAGTGAGAAGATGTTTGGAACAAACAAACAGAATTTAGTCTATATCTTTTTGTTTCTCTCAGGACATGTTTTTACTATACTGAACAAAGAAAAACGTGTTTATCTCGATGTTCTATAAGCATATAGTCTACTGTTATTTTTGCTTGCTCGGAGAAAAAAAAACATTTTCATGCCCAAAACTTGTCTAAAAAACGCGAAAATTCCGTGGACAAAATGCTGAACATGGACATGAACGGATATGGACAAAAAAGAAGTGTCCTTGCAGGCCTTGATTGATGAGTCACGCATATTTTTAACAATGCGTCGTCATCATCTGTCATCATTCAGTAATGAATCATCGGATATTTTTCACAAATAATTGATCGTTTTGTCAGAAGGGTCAATCATTTATTCGTCAATGATTCTTGATGATTAGATGAGTCGTCATTTGATTTACATCTAGGTTATATAAAGAACTCGATAGGTACATGTCACAAATTTCAGTTTTTATATCATTTTATTCTTGTTTTGAAAATGACCATTAAATGGTCAAAAGCTCGACTTGTCTAGTTTTGAATTAATTTTGATAAAGACTGAGTAATATTTCCAGCTACTGTTAAAATATTAGTATTCTTATTCAATTCATCCTTCCATTAGACAAAATAACTATTCTCAATAAGCAATACCATTGCAAAACGAAGTCAACTGAAGTTTTTTTGTGATATAATATATTAGAAAGATTGATCTAGCAGCAAACTGTGGTACAGATTAATGTCCTGTTGAATCATATTTTGTTTAAAAGACGTAAGAAATAACGCTTATTATTTCTACATATTTGATACTATAGCAACAACAGTTTTGTCTTCATTATTGCAGTTATTCAACTAAACATATACATTTTTTATTTAGAAAATTAACTAATCAGAATCAAATACTCAATCAGAACTAGAAAACAAAGTTGTTCGTAATTACTTACATGAACTTAAAACATTAAACTAGGATGTTAAGTCTATGTAAGTAATTACTAATAACTTTGTTTTCTAGTATATTTTTTATTATTTATATAGATTTTATTCTAGATTAAACGAAAAATGCCTGTAAAAGAAATATCTGAAGGCACATTAAAACGAGAATTGACTAATGCTGGTGAAAAATTAGTATTGGTCGACTTTTTTGCTACGTGGTGGTAGGTATTCGATTCATTTTTATGTTTTTTTATGAAAAAATCCATATGTTTCTAGTGGACCATGTAAAATGATAGCACCGGCCATCGACAACTTAAGTACACAACATCCACATAGCGTATTTCTCAAAGTGGACGTTGATAAATGTCAAGTACATAAATTGTTTAGAAGTATGATTTGATCTATTCACTAACAAGTTCTGTTTTTTAATTGTAGACCGAAGCTCAAGAGAATAACATAACAGCAATGCCAACATTCGTCTTTTATAGATCTGGCAAAGAACTTGAACGCATTCGTGGTGCCGATGCTAAAAGTATTGAAGCATTTCTACAAAAACATGGACAAGCTCAAGCATTTGGTGGACAGGGATACTCAATGGTTGGTGCATCATCCTCTGCAACTACTGCAACTTCAACAACAGAACAGGCGGGAGATAAAACACGAATTGAAAAATTAGCCACAGAAAAATTTTCAAAATTAAACGATGGAGAAACAACGACTACACTTCGTTTAAGATTACCTGATATCTCCGCACCCATTCAAATTAAAATCGGTGTTCAACGCACACTTAATGATGTGAGACAATTTTTATCAACAGTATTGAAACGTAATTTTGAATTTATTGAACCACCAGCAACAAAAATAAAAGTGGAAGATGAAATAAAAACGTTAATCGAGTTAAAATTAACAAATGCCATGGTTGTTGTTAGAAATATTTGAGAGAAAACAATTTAGGACACTAAAACATTTCGTTGATTTTTTACTTATTTTATTCTTGAATGATATTTTATGTTTTTTTATTATTATTATATTTTTGGTGATCGTTTTAAATAAAAAATGTTGTCGTATTCTTTTAAACTTAAAAGGAAAGCGACAAGCTATTGAGAGCAGTCACAAATGTCTTATTTAATTCAGGTAGAATTTGATTTTAATTCGAATCATAATTCAATTATCTACAAGTAGCGTTCATCTGCAATTCACTCGATCCCTTGACGTTAGAGTGCATGCGTGTATGACTTAAACGTTGACAACTCCATTTAATTTTTGTATGTTTCTGGAAGTCTTACAGGTAAACAAGGGAAAAGTACAGAAACCATTAGGTATCGCTATTGCGTACCCAGCCAATGTACTTATATTTATTGCAGATTTTTATTCGATTAAAGTCGCTTCCTGCTTAACTATAACTATAGTAACCTATATCTGTCAGTGAAAATCACAATTGTATTGTATGCAACTTGTATCAAAGCAGCAAAAACTAAGGGTGTTTTCTGTAGGCCCTCTGAACACTCCTAGACATCTTCCGAGGATATCATCAGATTCGGAATTACTTTTAGTCGATAAGTTTCATCTAACCAGATCGTTTCTCTCAAGAGTTATTCTATTTTGGAATTCCTCGTATGGCGAGTCAAACATTTTATGTTATATGACCCTGACTAATGCAGACGGAATTTCAGAGTAACTGTTTCACTGTTTTTCCAATAAAGTCTAAAAGAACAGAAAAAGTCGACCTGGGGGCTTATGATAATATAAAAAAAACTTTTAAAAACCCTTCAAATAGATTGATTTTTGATGAGATCTTTGGAAAACCAGGTTGGTATTCCAAAAGTTGCCATAACAACTTTTTATTTTATTTCATGAATATTCAAGTGGAAAGGTCCAAAATATTAAATGTAGTAATTCTGAAAATGAGTGAAGACACAGGTTGTCGACTATGCTGAATCTCGTGATAATGTTTGTTTCTCTCAGAGAACTCAGAAATCCATAATAACCTATAGTAGGTGAAAAAATCTAGTTTTAGCTATTTTCTCGAAATTCAAATTTTCATACAAAATCGGTCCGGACTACTGATAACTATGGGTTAAAAACAATATATATTAATGAAAAATGCATATTGTCTAGGTTAATTGAGCATTTAGAACATACGGCACCAAAGTAAATACGTAATAAATGATACCAACTGGGTAGTTCCACAAGGATTCTATCACATTATACAAAACTAGTTGCATCAGCGGCGTAATAAAAATTGCTAGATGCAGTTTTGGACGCTGAGTTCAATGGTGAAAACCGCAGCTCTCTATTTCTAGAAAACTCGTGAGGTTTTGATAGGTTTTCGGAGATTTCACGGGGTTTCACTGTCGTATACGAAAAGTATGTCTTCTGCTCCTTTCTTAAACAATTTGTCGGCACTAAGAAAGCCAGTGCGGCTACTGCAGCTTTGAGACGTGGTACTCTGATGACGAAGGCAAACTTGGCAGCTGACACTAGGGATTGGTCTTCATTGTTTATTCAACTCTTGAACATTTCTCTAGTTTAAATAATAAAAAAGTTCCAGATTAAAAATAACTTGGAAACACTGTTCAACACCACACTAAAAATCGGTAAAATACTCGAGGAAACAAATGTGGTTAGCAAAAACAAAGTCAAAAGTTATCAAAATTTTTTCATTTTTTTCGACGGTTTGATCGAGTCTTCCCGTTTTGCATTGTATCAACGAGCTTAAACTGTGAAGAATTTGTTGCTGACGAGACGAGTTTGCATGAAATTGTATTCTCATCTGTTGGCACAAAATGGTGAAATTCTCTAATTCTTTTTAATTGAACTTTTAGCATCTGGTAACTGACTCCATCGATGTTTTAAGGTTGATTCGAAAGTCTTTTGCAGGAAAACAAAGAGTATAAACAGCTGCAACCGAAACAATGTTTTTAGCACAAAAAACGTCTACAACCTATCAAAACCTCACGAGTTTTCTAGAATCCCTCAAAAAACACATTCTCGCACAGGTGTCTTGATGTCAAATCTGGATGCTACGCTAAAAATAACATAAAAAGTGATTTTCATCGGTTTTGACCCGCAATAATAAGAGAGAATTCCATGAGAACCCTTTGGATTTCCTTTTCGCCTAGATGGTGTGAACCGGCACGAGTTCTTTTTACTGAAATGTATAGAACTCACTTCGCTCTTTCATTTGAGACTAGAATGAAGGTTCTACGATATGTCCTCTAGTTACACGAAGCTTTGCAACATAGGCCATTTCGGCTGGAAAATGAAGAAAACCGCCATTTTTCGCTGGGACAGTATTTTGCGTATAACTTTTTTTTTAGAAAAAGATAGAGAGCTGCGGTTTTCACCATTGAACTCAGCGTCCAAAACTGCATCTAGCAATTTTTATTACGCCGCTGGCGTAACTAGTCGCTGGAATGATGGTATATTCCATATGGATTAACCCAACTGAGAATAGGTTGTAATTTCTTTTTGTTAAAAAAATTTCAAAGTTGGATTTTTTTGGAAACCAAAAATGTTCGATTCTCACTTTGAAGATCTTATGTTTGTTGTATTTTACTTCTGAATAGTATAATCATTATCATAAGAAAAGAGAAAGGAAACAGAAAAAAATATCGAGAATAAGAGATATAAAAAAAAGTTTAAACGAAGTACTGGATGGCTCATATTTTCACACATTTATTACATTTTTCTAACTACAATCATTGCATTTGTTAATTTTGCTTCTAAAATCGATTTCGTTTCATCTTCGACTTTAATTTTTGTTGCTGGTGGTTCGATAAATTCAAATTGTTGTAATTGTGGTAATGTATCACGAATAAATTGACGAACATCTCTGAGTGTTCGTTGATTTCCAAGTTGAATTTTCAACGGTGATGAAAAATCAGGTAAGCGTAAACGAATTGTAGTCATTGTTTCACCAGTGGACGATGTAGAAAAACGATCATGAGCTAATTTTTCAATTCGTGTTTGTTCATTCGATGCTGAAGAGGGCGAAGCTACTGCTGTAGTGTTTGTCATTGCTGATCGTATTGGAGAATTTGTGGCTGTGCCGGTTAGATTGGGAGTTGGTGTACCAAGCATATAGCCTTGGCCACCAAAAGGTTTTACTGTAGCTTTTTTCGGTACATATTCGTCCCCACGATGGTCTTCGAGACGAACCTAGAAACAAAAAATAATGTATATGAATAAATTGCATTACATATGTACAATGAAAGATTCGATCTTTTTTTCCAGATCAAATGTCCAGATTGTTGTTCTATTGTACTAGAGTTAAATTTTAAAGGCACAGTAGCAGACAAAATTACAAAATAAGATAAGACATTACAGATATCTGCTTAGTAGAAAAAAAGTGAAAACAGTCATCAAATGGTAAAACTACAATGCCTATATCATTCACTCAGTCACATAAAGATTTATGGTTTGTACAAAGAAGAAACGCATAGCATTCTGATGTAGCTCTAATTCACTTAATCTTGCTTTCATACAAACAGCTGATATATCTGAATTATGATGTATGAAAAAGTCTTTCTGAAGATCGCTTAAAGATCCTACTTCAATTATGTATCCGACGAATTTACAGTGGCAGATTATTTATGATCACACTTACATGCAGAACAATTTTGTAACAAATTGAAAAATCTTCTATTCCACCTGTATCAAGTAGCTAGCAGGACCCCCGCCTCGAAACTTGGTACGCCTAAGGTACGTCTAAAAAATAGGTCAACCAACTTTCTGTAGATGTTTTTTGAAAAAGTAAATACGATTTTTGTAGCATTTGAAAATTTGTCGAATGATGTATTACTTCACGATTTATAACAGATTCTTAACTGGTAAATAAAAGTGTTAGGGACCAGAGTGACGCTAATGAGTACTAACTAACTATAAACTAATACCTTAAAATTTTTTTTCCTTGCAGCTATAGCAACAGATCATTGATTATAAAGCTAGGCAAAAACGACTTTTCTATGATTATTTTTGTCTAAGCTGTACCCTTTTCCAACCAGGAACCAACCATTCAAAATTTTCTTAAATTTAAACTTATCTTAATTAATATCTCTGTGAATGAATACTCATCAGTTCATCGAAAATGTGTACGAAGGATGTGTAGTCAGGTGTTCTTTGTAAACTGAGAAAGTGGTGGGTATATATAGAAGTTATGAAGCCCTTCTTAAGTCAAGAAAAGACTACCAGTCGATAGAATTAAGAACGAAAATCCGAACGACTCTCAAGTATCAGCATGGAAGTCAGGGATAATCTTACTCCCGAAAGGAAATTGTCAGTTATACTGTCTACAACAAGAGATACAAACATTTTCTTTGTTATTACTTCAACTTGTCTTCCACCAGTGGTCAGCTTTCGTAATTCTTCCGGCACTTCGCCACGAGTAATTGAATCTATGAACGCACGATTTTCTTCAAAACGTCTCAATTCGCCATCATCTACTGTAAAACCATTTTTATAAAATAGAATGGGTATTTGGAGAGCATTATTTGCTTGGTTTCTATTACTTGATGATGTAGACGGTGTGGTATCAAGAGAACGAGATGGAGTCGATTCATCACCTAAAACATCATTAAAAAAAATTGTGTTTAGTGTTGAGGTATTTTCAGGAAAAAAAGACATTTATTTCGTGCGTTTTTTTCGCTTTTTAAGGACACAAATTCATTGGATAAAATTTCGGGTTTTAACACGGAACTATAAAAAGCATCCTCTGTAGTCTAAATAGTGAATATCTCAGTAAATATAACAGATTATAAAAGAAGGAAAATAGAAAATGAAATGCTATCTGGTCCTTGTTAAAATCCGGAACTTTAATCCTGTGAATTTTTGATCTTTAGAAAGGGAAAAAAGTGCACGAACTCTGCTAACTATTCAATAAGTCATCATAATCAGTAAGTGTATTATGTAAAACTTCTCAAACGTTACTTAAAAAAAGTCACTTTTAACTGATAAAAATCTACTGATAGTAAGACATACCTAAAGTATAACCGACACCTCCAAATGCTTTTTGCTTGTGTTGATGATCATCATGTGAATGAGAATCATCTGCTTCTTTTGCTCCTTGATCTCTTGCTGCTTTAAATACATTTTCAACTTCTTTATCTTTATCAACCGGTAATTTAGGTTTTGGTGGACCAATGATCTGTTGACCACTGCGTTCACTCCCACCAGCGTAAAATGCTTGGCCTAAAAATAATCAAACCATTTAGCAAATACATATAAGTTATAGACGCTATTAAAAGCAGAAATATTACGATCAAAGTGGGTAAACTGAGAGGTTTTCATTTATGAAACAAATGATGTTAGAGTTTGTACCTTCTTCATCTGAACTGTCATCTTCTTTTTGCAATGAGGCTATTGTTCCAAAGCGTGATGACTGTGGTGGTTGCTTTTTTGTTGACTTTGAAGAGTCTTGTGAAACAGTTGCTGATTGCATACTTTTTTCAATAGCCATTTGCAAGCTATCATCATCATCTGATGCATAACCCGATCCTGTTGCCCTGGCTGAATCACCTTCTCTCGCTGAATTATCATTCAAATTTGTAATAGGTATGTTTTGATGTGATGGAACATGGCTCGTACTTGCTCCATCATCATAAAAACATTCCATAGCTGTATCCATATTCCAATTTGATGCTTCTAAATAACGTTGGGCTTGATCTTGTGGACATTGAGTCACAGCGATGAATTGCGCTAAAATTTCGTCGTTGGATGACATCTCAAAAATGAAAAAAGAACGTCAATTTTGTTAAAAAGAAAAGAGTGAAGTAAATTCTAAAGAATTTGATGCGAAAGAAAACCGAAATTTTATCGGATAAATACAGAACTTGTCTAAAAAGTGAAAAAATTCACTATGGTCGGTGACTTGATGAAAAAAAATATTTCGTTTTTTGTAGATCACAGTTTTCTCAGATATCGGCATGCATAATAGTCCAAAAGAACAGACAACCGTACTCTTCTTCAGTTCAATGTCTGTATTAACTCAATGCTAGTAGATTTCTATCCCAAAAATATCTATTATCAAAATCGGAACGCATGACGTTTTTAATGCCAAAGTATGCATACTTTATCAAAGAATGTAGTTCCCTAGCAAAACTAAATTTACATTTTTCTCATACTTCAAGAGAAAATCAATGTATAATTCGTTATAGCAAAATTCAAAAGTAAAGTGAGATGACTAAATCGCATATATTTCTAGAATTTCTGATGCATGAATAAATTAAAAATAAAAAAGAATGAAAAAGAGAAAAAGAATAAAATTAATAATAGACGTTTCTGATAATCATGAAACTATACGTCAAGCTCATTTAAAGGAAAATGATTAGCACCATTCACAATCTATGCCGATAATGCAATGAAACAAAAAGCAGTCAAATGCACAAATACCTGTGAACGAATGATAACTTTATCGGAATGGCTATTGACAGTCCTGAGACTGACAGCAAGAAGCTATTGACAGTACGAAATACACTTACATACTGCATAAATGTGTTATTCAAAATGTTATGTTGAATTAATTCTGAATTTTGCGATCTATGAGAGGTGGTTTCCGACGGGTGGGATGACTGTGCATGAGAGTGAGCCACCAGAATACTTCCATGTTACCTGAAAACGATGATCTTTTTTGCATAACACATTTGTGCGGTGTATATAAGTGCATTTTGGACTATCAATAACTCCTTCCTGCCAGTCTCGAGATTGCCAATAGACCTACCCTATTTTTATCTGATGATCTACGTCGTCAAGTCTAATGTTTGTTACTAAAGCGAAATTTATGTCTGGTTGTGGGTGAAAGATAACAAATGTTATTCCAGATTGTTGTATAATATCTGTCGAACACAGTTAGCTATTCCATCTGATCTAATCACATAGCTTTGTGATGATATGAATGAAGATGAAGGTGGAAAACAATAGTAACAATAACAATATAAATGTATGGTACGAACGATAGGTAAATCAGTATTGCTCACTTAGATATTTATATAGTAGTGGAAATTGTGTTTCTCTTTCCTTTTCTTGGTATTTGTTGAAAATCAGCAAGCTTAGTATATATAAACTAACTCATTGTTCCTAATCTATATATCAGTACATGTATGCAGAAACTTTATATCACTGCATGTACGCAAAACAGAAGTCTGTGAAGAGAATAATTAATCAAAAAAAATTCATCGCAAACGAAACTAAGTTTTATGAGGTGGGTGCGAAATCTATCGTCTGCGCGACGTGAATCTGAGACTGGAAAAAGTGGAAGTGTACGTAAGTCATTAGATGAATAAAAAAGGCAACATGATCTAGATTCATCTGCAAAGAAGAAAAAAGGCATCAGCAGTATGATTTGCTTAGAAAGTCAAGTGTTGGTGTACGAATCATTACATTACATCAATAAATGGATGATGAATCATTTTTTATGAGTACAAACACCGCTCATATTGGTTTATTTTTTCTCCAATAACGTTTTAACTTTAAAATTTATTTTAATTAAATCTTATCTGTAGAGATGTGATTTTAAACATTTGCAGATGTATTATCATGATCCAAAAAGTCATAATAAGAAAAAATGGAAGTATAGACTGGTACATAAAATGCCCCAATTTGTGGAATTCTGTAATGGTTGCTGTAGGTGACAATAGAAACACAAAGAAGAAAAAGAAAATAGTTTTTGAGAACTCTGCTACCTATGAAAGACTTTTAGTAGATTCAAAACTCGAGATGTTATTACAATGACGGGAAGACACGCATCTACCTTACAACTAATGGCTATTCTTTTTTTAGCTCGAAGAAATTTGACCTTTTTCAATCAAATTTCCATTATTTTATTATTGTAGATGATTTAGCTCGATTCGAAAACATCATTATTTTTCATCTTTCAGCTTCCTTGGTACTTTATCCTTTGTGCTAATTGTAAATTTCTAAATATTCTAATAAACAAAATATCTTTGGATCTTTGTCTTTCTTCTTTTCGTCATAACTTCAATGGTGTCGAATTCCTTAACTGCAGGCAAGCATGAAACGTACGTGTTGGATTATGAAATTTAAATCTTTTCGCTTGAAAAAAATGTTAAATTTAAAAGATGAGCGATTATTCTATTGAAAATAATTTTCATCTACTTTCTAAATACTTTTAAGAAAGCATTTTTATTGTTCTCATATCTTAGTGCATGTAAAAATTTTAATATAATTAAATTAATTTCTCTATATTTCTTTCTAAACTTTTGTTACTATTTTCTGTTCAATCTTAAATTTGTTATTTCTCTTTATTATTCAAACTTTTAGATAAGTTTCAATTCTGACGAGTGATCATTCTTAATCTTCATTTGTTAGAAAATAAAAAAAAAAAGTATCTTATCTATTTTGATTAGTGTGAGTGAGAGGTATGTTATATTTGTTTTTGTTTTTTCTTCTTGTTAGTTAAGATTTATAAAATCATCTCTTACTCGTGAAATTCCTTTCTGTTACTCCTTCAATGTTAAATCTTTTTCACAGATATGCTAATCTATTGTTTATTTTGTTTTATTTTAGTCATTATGAAGGTAAATACTACTAATGCCTTGTGTGTGATTTCGGCAACAACAAAACAAATGAAAAGCAGATGATGACATATATAATATGATTGTGATAAATATTAATGAGCAATTCTTATGAGCTTTTTAACACTGATGCTTTTATTTATTTATTTATTTTTTATTTCTTAAACATTGCTCATATCATGGACATTTTTTTTATTTAATCGAAGTTATGCATCGTTATGAACTTTTTACTCTATTATGTATAATTCTTCTAGAAAGAAATTACACAACATGAAAAATTTTTTTGGGATCAATGTTTTCCAATCTTTCATTTGAAATATATTACCGTATCTTCAGCAAACGAATCCCGTAGTACTATGAAATTGAAACTCTTTGTAACTTTTTTGTGAAAAGAAAAGAAAATGTCCATGGTAGAAGAGCATCATTGAATGATTAGTTTATTGTATTGGGTTTTCTTCTCTGTTTAGCGTACATTTTCGAATGACGAATTTGATAAAAATGGTGATAGTTTAAGTGGTACACAAGTTAATGATATTAGTAAAAAAGTAGGTACTTTTCTTTTAATATCCTATTTAACTTTATACCGTCTATGTCTTATATATTAGAGTCGTTCCGAGCCAGTATTACCATCTCGTGTTGTTCATTTGAGAAATATTGAAGCAAGTGAAATTGAAGTTGTACAATTAGGATTACCATTTGGAAGAGTAACAAATTTTCTTAATTTACGGAAAAAATCACAGGTAAGAAATGAATTGTTTATGACACCTATAATACGTGCACGTGTATCTTTTGTTTTGATCAAAAAAGAAGTGATTAACCCTTTAAGTCTTCATGGCTTTAATGCTTTGTTTTGCGTCAGCTGCTTATGAAAATGAAACATATGAGACCTCGATATGACTTTCTCACGCTCGAAAAAAATTATTTTTCTCATTTTTAAAAAAGTTAAGCTTTTCTGATTTAAATTTAAAATCAAAATTTGAAAAAAATTATTTTTTCCAAAATTGTCGTTAGAAACCAAGATCAAACATATCTGTGTTTAGACCATTAGATTTGAGGAAGTTGAGACAGAAAATGAGCCCAGATGGTGAAGAAAATTAAGGATGACCAAGAAAACGATGCATAATGTCCAAAATCCTAGCAAAATAAGACCTTTCGTTTTGTTCCATTAGCAGCCTGTAGTTTAAACAATAATTTCTTCATCTGACATAATCTGAAAGGACACGCCGCCCTACATACGTTTGAAAAGTTGTTGAATAAAAAGCTTTTTCTAAAGTACTTAAAAAAATTAAATTTTTTCGACAATATTCTTCACTTTAAAATTTAAATATCTCGGCTAGCATAAAACATAAACAAAATATTTTTTTTACAATTCAATAGTCAATTTAATTCTCTGCAACCGATATAAGGCTATTTTTTTTCAAACAATGCTTTCTCAGTTTGTTATAATGATAATGCCAATGACCTGGCTTTAAAGGGTTAAAATTACAACACTTACTAAAAACTTTAGTAGCAATCAAGGGTTATCTATAATGAACTGATGAATATATTATAGTCTGCTTCGTTCAATAGGTACGAAGAAAATTTTATCATTTTAATCCAGGTAAATGATGAATTTTTCATAATTTACTTTTATAACTAATATGTTTAAAATAACAATGAAAAACGTTAAAAATTAAAAGCTAAATACATTGATTTACGATTGTAGATCTTTTTTCATTTGATGAACAACATATGATTTGTCGAGTCGATATTCGTAGAAAAGCAATTATGATTTACGAATATTATATATCTAGAATCTAGGCATTTATTATATATCTAACAGAAAGAAGGGACAGATCTTACAGTGAGAATAAGAGAGTTATATTATTTTTTTTCTAGTTGAAATAAATAGAAAGAGTAAAAGAATTCGATATTTTTTTTGTGTATATCAATAATAAATAACAAAAATGAGAGGTTAGAATCTTAAAGCCTAGCCAGGGCTTCTACTTGGAGTTCGTGTTTATTCATCAAAGATATATGACCTTATTTCATTTTATTTTAATATTATGGAAGTATGAGGAAAATAATATACATCTGTTTCATAAAGACTGTTCTTCAAGAAATAAAAAAGAAAAAAAGGAAAAAGAGAATAGTAATAAAGAGCATTTGCACATAAACAACAACAACGACTAATGAAACAATATATTCTCTATTAATAACTTTTAATACGAGATCATGTTTAATTCGTGTTGTAGGAGAGAAAGTAACGCGTTTCACAAGAAATACAGAACTGGCTAATTGTCTTTAATAGTTTTACTGTTGCTCATTTACGTGGCTTAAACAATGTGAATGAAGAGATGTGGTGGAACTAAAGAGAAACCATTTTCTTTGAAAAAAAATACTCCATGGTAATGAAAAGAGATCCAATTGTTTTTCTATTAGAAAAGTTAAACTCTTGTTAGATAACGGTAAAAAAATTTTGACAGAAAGTGATAAGCAAAAGTACAACGTTTTTTTGCTAAAATTATGCTACTTATTATTAATTAAACGTAAGTAATCAGTCAGTGAAGTGTTGCATAAATGTCACTTAAAATTTTCGAATGTCTTTCAATTTCTTCGATTGACATTATTAACAAAGGTTAATTTATTTCATTTTTCAGTTGAATTGATAATGCATATACTGAACATAATATTAGTGCACTAGACGGATGTATAATTTCTAGAGACGAGGCCGAAGTTATCACTTTTAGACAAGAGATAAAAACTCATTAAAATCTAAATATGAAAGAAGAGAAAAAAACATTTTCGAGCCGAATTTTTTTAGTTAATAAAAAAAAATTTTAAATTTTAGCATAAGGCAAAGACAATTTTGTAGTTAGAGTAGAAAATTAATACATATTTGAAACAAGCAGATTTTTCCGTAATGAAAATTCTAACAAAAAGTCAAGAATTCACAAGGATCGTCATCGGGATCACTCACAATGAACGGTTCTAAAAAAGTTTAGATTACAAGATTTTAATGAATTATTATACTCAAAAGTCAAAACGATATTGTTTATCCTCAAAAGTGAGAAGAAATATGTTAGAAAGTACAATTTAGTGAGATGTGTCCTCCTTTAAACCGAAAAGAGACGCTATTACGTAGAGTGAATATACCTGATTCCAACTGAAATTTAACCTCTTTACTTCCATCGCTTATTATAAAGAATTTTCCTGTAAAGCATTAGATATTTTTTACATTTCTAGTGAGTAATCACCGGTACATGAAGTAGAAATATCGCCGTTGAAATCAGGGACGTGTTTCCTAATTCAAACGGCCGTAGATATTTTGATCCTATATCCAACGGACACAGTAAAATAGAAGACAAAAACGAAAATAGTGGAAAAAAAGCGTCTGTTTGTTACCTAAAGTACTCAATAGAGAAATCTTTTAGTACAAAATATATTTATCTACTTTCGATCTCTCACCAGGCAAAAGTTCATTAAAAAATATTTTTTTGCAATTACGAACATATTCATTTATCAAATGAGACTGTATCCGTTGGAATTAGGTACGCTTTAGCTAATTCAACGCTTGTGTACTTTTTTATTCTTATTTCTAACGGATACATTGACTTACAGTGGAAAAAGACAGGTCTTCAGAAAATCAAATTGTCGTACTATTCCAAACTCAAAATCAACTCATATTCTCGCAACAAAAAGTATTAGGGAAGGTCTGTCACGAAAATTCAAAGTAAACAAATACTTTTTTAATTTAAAGTACGCGACAACAATTTATTTCAATACTAACTGCAGGCATATTGTGCATTTTCTCGCGAGACAGCATCGTATATAGCCAAGAAAAACTATTTAAGTCTTGTTACTCTCACACAAATTCTGAATCTATTTTAAGATTTGAATAAAGCGCACAGAAGAATTGTATTTTGATCTGATGTACCAGTGTGTGTTTCAAAAAAAATCTTAAGAAAAAGTCAAGTCTAACTGAAACAAAGAAAATCTAAGTATAGAAGACAATATTCGATTGAGTTCGAAAACGATTTATTTCTATCAGCTTTTTCAATGATGGCAGCATAGGGGTTCTCAAATCTTGTACCAAAGATGAAGCACAAAAAGTTTAAAGTCGACTTGAGTACAAGAGCATTAAACCTTTTGCTCCTTTTATAACTTGAACTGTTCAAGCAAGGTCATCCAGAGTCAGTTTATTCACCTGTACTTCGCTAGTCAGTGTACGCTGTAACTGTGAATATTTTGTCCATTTCGAACCATGTTCTCTCCAAAAACAAATTAACTTCGAAAGCCCGCCGCAATCAGTAATAAAAAACCAGGAAATAACACATACAGGGGCGTATTACGCAAAAATCTTAGAATAAAGTTAAGTTAATACTTAAGACGTCTTTTTTCGGCGTATAAAGCGTTATTATTCAAGTTTCTCTTCTTTCCAGTGTCTTCTGAATTTTTCTTGTACATAGTCTGATAGAGCAAATTGTTCACAATGAAAGATCTCCCATAATTGTCCGCTGGTTTTTTGTGTAAGATATAAGAATGTGCCACATACGAATTGGCAAAAGTACCCTGTCCAATATTTATAGAAAAAAACAAAAAATTTATTAGTGAAGAAGTAAAAAGGTTAAAGTTCCGTTGGAATTAGGCACATTCCCCCTATACTAACAGTTCGTCATACTCTTTTTTGCTTTATTTCATCTGATCACTATATGATCAAACGACACGTGTTTGATACATAGACAAAGCGAGAAGTAAGAAATACATCGCGTGTCTTTTTTGTTATTTTTTTTTTTGTTGTAAATGATACTATAGGTTGCAATACATAATTGATCTGTGTTACGCGAAAGAAAAACGGTTTGCATTGTCACAAATTATGCATGTCTCTGTATGCGACGAAAAAATACCCGATTTCTTTGTATATAATGTGTACAATGAAAAAAAGATAAAACTGTCGGATGTGTATATATATGTACTGTACATTATGTACAGAAAGTCTAGTAGACTCTTTGCTTCTTATGTCTTTTTCTCAATGATATAACACATATGTGCTCTCTATGCATATTACGAAAAAAAAAGTTGATACGTTTTTTGTATAACGGGATTTATTACAAACACCTTCTACATATACTTTCTTATTCTGTACATACCGTTGTCCTTTTGCTTTCTTCTCTGTATCCAACGATAAAAAAAGAAAATCAGCGATCAAGAGAGAGAGAGAGAGAAAGAACCCTCGAACTTTCTCTTGTCTCTAAGTTTTTTTTAAAAAAAAGTGCCTGTACACAAAGGCATGATGTACTCCGATTTATTTAGTTTGTATTAATGTTATTTAGATAATACACATACACACACACGCACGTACGCAAAAAAAAATCACGTGGGGTGAGCAGATGCAACTGGTTTTTTTTAATTTCGACTTGAACTTCGTGTAATATGACGAAGAAAAAAGTTTTCTATTTTTACGTAATTGTATGGTAATGTAAACAATGTTAACTTCGTCAGATGTTCGTTTTTTTCTTTCTTTCGTTTTTCTTTCTTCTCTGTGTAACAACCTGATCAAGGTTAGAAATTAATAACTATCTTAAAATAGTTGGAAATGTAGCGACAGTTCGTACTAGAACTAATACGACAAATCGTATTTTTTGTTAAAAAACTTCTAGAAAATTAACTTAGAAACAAAGCGTATAAAAATGTGCTGGTTTTCTTCAAGAAGAAAGATGTCTTGAGATAAATTGAATGACGAATAGTCAACGTGTGCTAACTATGTGAAGCGTGTAGGTTGTACATTTAAAAATTGTAAGATATGCAATATTCTACACGTTCTTTGTTTACTTGAATGTTGAGGTTTTAAAGAGAATAAAGTTTTTGTTTTTTGTATATCTTGAGTAGTCACTACATACTTTGATATATAATGATCTTTTTTCAATCTCCTTTTTTTTTGTTTTCTTCTAGGCCTTTCTTGAATTTGATTCTTGTGAACACGCTAAAACAATGGTCGATTATTTTAACAGCGGTCCAGCTATGTTAAATGGTCGTCAAGTATTTGCTCAATTTTCCAATCATGGTGAATTACGTACAGATCCTACAAATCGTTCAAATCAACAAGCACATATAGCATTAACACAAGCTACAGAACTCTATGAGACGGCACAAAAAGGTGGTCCAAATTGTGTACTAAGAATCAGTATTATTAACATGTTATTTCCAGTATCAATCGATGTTTTACATCAAGTAGGTAGAAAAAATCGAATGAATTTATTTTTAAAAAATTGTAATTTTACTTCTACTTAGATATTTACAAAATTTGGAGCTGTTTTGAAAATTATTACATTTACAAAAAATGGTAACGTTTAAATATTTGTCTTTTAAAATATACTTCGATTTAGAATATTTAATTTATGTATTTAGATAAATTTCAAGCTCTAATACAAATGAAAGATCATAGTGGTGCACAACAAGCAAAATTGGTAGGAAATAAACATTTGATGTAAAAAAAAACGTAAAGATCACCCGTTTCTATTGTCTTATTTCTAGCAATTACACGGTCAAAATATCTACAATGGATGTTGCACATTACAAATTGAATATTCAAAACTTTATTCTTTAACTGTTAAATATAATAATGATAAAAGTCGAGATTATACCAATCCCACATTACCATCGGGTGATTCGCAACAAACACAATTACAATCCAATACAGATCAAATGACAAATATGCTAGGTAGGATATTAAACGATAAAAAGAATTGAGAGAATATTTTTTGATAGATATATACGAGAAAATTTATATGGTGTTAATAGGATGATCAATATTTATATGATCTTCTAACACATTTCTTTGATTATGTATCTTACCGTTAAAGCTTTTATAATATGATTATGAACCATTGATCATATTTGCCTGAGTGTGATTTTCTAGTTGTATATCGAGATTTAATCATTTCTTGTTTTGTTATTTAGACTCACGGGGTTTACATTCAAATAATAGTCTATTATCATTAAATCGTTCTAATTCCAATGACGATTATCGTTATAGCATATTTGACCATAGACAAAATTGTATGTCAAAGTTTTTCACTGTTTTTTTTCAAATCGGTATATGTTCCTTCTCATCAGTTTTCTTCGAGAATCAAAGATATGTTACTAATCGAATATAATCATGATGTGAAGCAGAGATAGGCAACTCCAACAGGAGTTGGAGTTGAGCGTATTTTTGGTGGAGTTATGCAAAATTTATCGGAGTTAGACTGTGTATTTGGACAATATCGACGCTAACACAAATAAAAGTTCAGTGGTTCCTACAAAGTTATACTAAGAGTTACAGTGGTTGCTAACGGAGTTGAAATCGGAGTTGCCCATCTCTGACGTGAAGCTGGGATAATGGAGCGTCAGATTGTCAGACATAAAATAAACATAAAGCATCATCGTTCAGTCACCTAAGTTGAAATATAAACGACGTTTTGTTGTATTTCTTCGACTATTAGAAAGAGAAACATATTAACTCACTCCGAATTTCTAAAGCAATTTTTGATTAACAGACTTTTATTATTTCTCTATATAGGTGCAAATCCATTAATAAATGCTCCACCATCGTTTAATCCTATGCAATCTCAATACGGTCTCGGTGCAGCTCAAATGGTTTCTCATTTACAACAACAGCAGCAACAATTACCCTCACAACAAGCAGTTCAGAATGGTCCAGTTATACTTGTGTCAAATTTAAACGAAGACGTAAGTAATGGACGCTAATTGTGATGAGAGAAGAGAGCGAATGGAATAAAATGAAATAAAATGAGAGCGGGGTAAACGCTGAATTCATTTGTTGTCATCATTTTCGCATCTAATGTGTAGTGTACCCTATACGTTGTACCTGATTCTGTCTATTTGCTCTTATTTCCGCTTTTCGTTTTCATTTACATTTGTTCGAGATTTCTCTCACACACACTCTCTCTCTCTCTCTCTCACATACATTCATCTTAACTTTTCTACTCTTTTTTTCTATTTTTTTATTTCCTTCTATCTAGATGATCACACCTGAAGCCTTATTTACTTTATTCGGTATGTGTTTTTGTTATATTTATCTTTTTCATTTCAGTTTTCATGTCTAACTATACATACGCACTTTATCTCATTATGGCAACATATTATACTCTTCATGATTTCACTATATCTTGTTTTTCATCTCATGGAAGAGCTACTTATCTTGACATTAAAGCAGTAATCAACTGATCAAAATGGCGAAGATCTATTCTTTCCTTTGTTGTGAGAAAATTTTCTTGACAATTAATAGGTTTTCTGTGTGAAGTTAGCCAATACTACATTTGTGAAAGATCTAATTTCTTATACTTTACGTTCAGTTATTAATATATTCATAAGAGCATCGTCAAGTTTTTCTACCATTCAATCATTTCCTTCATACTCTTACATCCATATGATCAGTTTAAAGTAATCTCTATAAGCAAAGCGTAACTTCTTTTTTTGAAACATCACATTTAATGTGATAAAACTAGATGAAACATATCTTGGAAATAAAAAGTAGAAACATCTGTGAATTTTTCAATTATCAATAGATTTTCTATCATCTACGCGTAAAGTTAGTTGTTTAACATGTAAATACAATAATTGAACGTCTGTGGACGATTTTTATTCATAGGAGATTATAGAAACATTCGTTTTGTTACTTTTCTTTTTCTCTTAGTTTTATACACAGAATATAGATGTGTTTGATTTCTTATTTTTAAGACACATTTTCTGTAAGAAGAAGGCGATAGGAGATACATAATTGATCCCAGTTATGTAAATATATCTTACTATATATTTTTATTGTTTTTACTTCAAAGGTGTCTACGGTGATGTGCATCGCGTAAAAATATTGTTTAATAAAAAAGACAGTGCACTTATACAATTTGCTACACCACAACAAGCCGCTGTTGGTAAGTTGAATATTAAAACGTTGTGTTTCTTTCTTAACTATCATATTTTATGTTCTAGCTCATCAACATTTGGATCATATAACAATGTTTGGTAAACAAATTAAAGTATCATTTTCAAAACATCAATTTGTACAAATGCCAAAAGAAGGAGGATCCGTATGTTATTAAAATTATATTAAAATTTATTCAATATTTTTAAAATATTTATCATAATTTTTTTATTCAGGATATGGGTTTAACAAAAGATTTTACAAATTCACCATTACATCGTTTTAAAAAACCAGGTTCAAAAAATTACAATAATATCTATCCACCTGGTCCAGTACTTCATTTATCGAATATACCGTACGTGTAATATATCAAATACTATTAAACAATTAGTAAAAGATATCTTTGTATTTTAGTACTGAAACAAGTGAAGAAGAAATTCGTCGAATATTTTCACAATATGGAACAATAAAACGTTTTAAATTTTTTGAAAAAGATCGAAAAATGGCACTAATTGAAATGGATTCTATTGAAGAAGCAATTGCAGCACTTATTGTAAGTTATTTGATTTGTTGTTGTTTTTTATCAAATTTCTACTTTTGTACTTCTCTTTATCGTTTAATTAATCTTTCGATTTCGTTTTAGAATACCCACAATTATCGTTTAGCTGACAGTATGCATTTACGTGTATCATTTTCCAAAACAAAATTGTAAGTAATATATGTGTCAACCAATCAATCTTATGTTGTTTGTCAAATTATCTGTATCTGTGTGTGTGTATGTATCGTATTTTTAAACTTTTAAAAAAAACAAAAACAATTTATCTCAAAAATCAACGGAAACAAAATATAACCACCGCTCTCTCTGTCTCTCACATCAACTTGTTCTGATTTTTTTTTCCCTCTATTTGTATGCCGTCTTTTGTTTTTTCCCAAACTTCATTGGGTTTTTCTATTCTTCGTGCACATACACATAAACTGTGCGATTTTTTTTTCTTATTTGGTGTTTTGTGTGCAGATTGATTTTTTCTTCTTTTCTGTTTCATATTTCTAGCGATGGTTTTTGCTATAAAAACCTTTTTCTTTTTTCGTTTTTGTTTTTATGTTTATTTGTTTTTTGTATGATGTTCTTTAAACGAACAAAAAAAAAATCATAACGGTGTACATTTTGTTAAAATTTTGAAAAACAATGGGTAGATATCCATTTCATGATCTAACAGAATGATATCATAAACTATTAGTATGACATGAGCTATAGTTTTTGATTGAGTTTTGATAATCACTTTTTCTTAGGAAAAATTGATATTCTCATCTGTCGTTCTCGATAATGATATACCATCAAGGGTTAGTATAAAGAAGGAGAAACTTATTTCAAATATTCATCAACGATATAAATGTCTTTCTTGCATTGCAAATCAAATTCCTAATTCAGTATTTGTTGTACAGAAATAAATTATATTGTTAGACGGTACACTTATTTGATCAAACATCATACCAACCTTGTTTTATTAGAACGGTTTTGAAAGAGAAAACAAAACATATCTTTTTTTATTAATTTTCTACCTTTTTTCCTGGTCACTCACAATTCTGTTGTTGAAGTTACTTGAAACCCTTTCTCATATTTAGATTTTCTAATCAGTTGACATATTCTCAACAATACAAAACTGTGAATGATTATTATTATATCATAAATAGAATTTTGAAGTACTTATATGTATAATGTTGATATTGATGTTCAATTTTTGTTAATGTTAATAAGAAAAAAAAACTTCTTAACATGTCAAATCACTAATTGAAGATAATAAATGCAAAACTACTATCCATCCCAAAATACAGTGCCGGTGGGCATTTTTTGAATAACTTTTGATAGGAATGAGATAGAGACCTGCGATTTTCGCTGTTCGATAGCCAAGACTTGAGCAGAACTTTTCACAAGCGGAAGCAACTTTTGAAAGAATTTCAAAGATCGGGTTTCCAGAGGATATTTGGAAAACCAGCTCCGTTCTCAGAAAACTAAAATACAATGTTAGTAATTTTTTGCATGCGTAGATAGTCCGGACGTTACTCTACAAAATTATGCAAGTCCCGGCTCTCTAGCTATCGTCGTTCGGGTAGGGCTCGCTTTCCCCGAGCACGTGTCTATCTCCGAGCAGACATCTCTGGGAATCTCAAAATGCCATGGACTACTATAGGTAATCGACTACGCTGAGCATAGTGGCAACATTTGTTTTTGTGTAGAAATGAATATAACTTCGCCAGAGACATTGTTGTGAAAAATCGGTTTTTCGCCTGTTACTAGCAAAAATTAAAATCCTTATATCGCGATCAAATCTCATGCTGACTCAAGGAAATTTTCAGGAAAGGCTTAAAAGGTGCCATATGTTGTTGACCACGCCGAAAAAGTGGTCCA